TCCTAACCGGTTAGTAACTGCAACTAACCGGTTTTCATCGGTTATCTTCGGTCCAGTTAGGTTATTTTGGGTCTGGGAACGAACCCTAACCGGTCTCGGTCTCGGTTAGAGCCCCTGGGCACCCAATAACCTAACCTAACCGGACTTTCAAACACTAGTACCAAGTAGGCTTTAATTTCATACTGCCCATGTTACAGCCACTTCTTCAACCTTCTAGTCTTTCAGTTACCGTAGTTCGAGTCCTCTGCGTGGTCAATGAGGGAAAATGGCGTCGTGGAAAGAAGCCCGCTGCCGAGGAGACTTGTCTGTGCTAAGTGGCGAACTCATGCCACTGCTGGAGCTCGAATGGCGACTCGAAGGGGCATTCACCTGGACTGTAACAAAACTTCAGGGAAAGTTAACCTGGAGTTTGTACTCACCCTCTCCCTCGCCGTTTGGTTGATGTTCAGGCCTCAGGTCTGGCAACAAACTTGCGCGCTTTCACGATCGTCGTGGGCAGATTTGAAAAGCTCGGTTGGGGAGCCAATGTCGTGTGTATATATTGGAAATTGAGTCAAGGGAATAAAGTTGTACGAACGGAAGAAGCTGGGAGAAGCGAGTCAGTGACTTCACTCGAGTGGCTGACCCAGCATAACCAAACAATACACTGCCCGTGGCGCTTACTTTGATTCTTCACCACTTCCACCATCTCAGGCATCCCAGCGACAAATGTCTCTTTCCAATGTTGAATCCCAAGCCGTGGAGGATATAGAAAGACAACAGGAATGAGCACGCAGAGTTCGAAACCTCACCACGCGTTTTCGCGTCCTCATCATTGGCCGCGCCAATGCGGGGAAGACAACCATCCTCCAACGAGTTTGCAATACAACGGAAAAGCCAAAAATTTTCAATTGGAAGGGTCATGAGGTATTCCATGTGCAGCCATCATCATATATCATTATTGATGTGAAAAAGATTGACTTGTCCAAGCTCGATCCAACTGCACAGGTAATGTGGATCTACACTCTCTACTACATTTTACTGAAAGTGTTGCAGAGAGGGGAGCATGATATTGAGAATGAAATGATTAGTGTTTAAAGGTTCAGTTCAGTCCGGTTTTTTGCCCCGAAAACGCGCAACCGTGGACCGCAACCGGTCCAGGACTGACCCAGATATTGAGGGAACCGAACCGAACCACCTAGGACCGGTCTTTTGCGGTCCATGATACCGGTTCAGACCGATCCAGACCGGTTTTTTTGCGTATAATTTATTATACCAATATAAACCATTTATATCTCGACTATTATTACTCTGAAAAATAAATGGCTTATATAAAATAGTAAAGCATGTAAATACCCGTCATTCTACCAATTTTCAAGAGATTTAATGAAGATTTGACATAGCTATGACTGAAACTGAATTACATCTCCTAGAGACTCGGGTAAAATATGGATTTGGTTATATATTTCTCAATTCTTAACCGTTTTTGATGAAACAAAAACCCAATAAAAGGCAATAAACGTGGTTACAAGGCTATGTAACGCACGTGACCGTTTAACCGGTTGCAACCGATTAAAACCGGTCTTTGAACGGTTTTAAAAGATTTTCGAAATGAGGCAACCGGCAACCGGACCAACCCCAAATTGGGGCAACTGCAACCGAAAAAAAGACCGGACCATGGTCCGGTTCAGTTCGGTCCACCGGTTTTTTGCGGTCCTATGGACTGAACCTTTAAATACTAGAAATGATATTTGAGAGCAATACAGCATTTGTCTTCCATGACTCATGTGGCTTTGAAGCAGGCAGAACATCTGAGCTGGATAAAGTCAAGGAGTTTCTGCGAAAACGTTCAACCAACAAAGAGCTCAAGGATCATGTGCATGTGATTTGGTGAGTGACTGAGTTGTGACATTAAAGTGCATCTGAGTACATCTTGTGTAGGTACTGCATCCCAATCAATGATGAAGCTAGGCCAATTACAAGGGCAGAGCTAAATTTTTTCAATGAGTGTGGGACTGGTAGAGGTGGGTAAATTATTGATCATTTCTTGAAGTTTGCCTTTCCTTTTTGTGCACAGTTCCTGTTATTGTGCTGTTTACAAAAGCAGATATGCTTGATGCTCAAACCATCAAGCAGCTGGTCAATACTGGAATGGATGTTGAAGATGCTGCAAACAAAGCTCCAGAAGAGTCAGTTGCCATGTTTGAAAAGAGGTTTGGTCAGCAACTCTACAAGAAAAAGTATCCTCCCAAGGATCATGTGTATTTTCGAGGTATAACAAACTCATTTACTCATTGACAATAGATCAATTGCATTTAACAGATATGCAAAATCCCACAAGTGACTGCAGTGAACTTCTGAGGAAGACAGCAGCCACCTTTTCAGATGATACACTCTTACAGCTGTTTCTTACAGTGCAGCAAAATAATGTGGCTCTGTCAATTGAATATGCAATTAAAAGGTAGTTGCCTCATTTTGAATTATATGCTGGTAAATTGCTGATTATCTAGAATAACAGAGTTGACTTTCCAGGTGGGAAGTTATTCAAAGAAAAGAAAGAGTGGAGGAAGATGGTTGAGAACATACTGAAGTATTTTCCACATATGGTATGTGGACCTTACTTGACTATACAGTGGTAGAATAAAATAATATATATGAACAGGGGGTAAGCCAACATCCAGGAGGTCTCAACTAGATGCTAATGCGATCATGCTTTTGTTATAACAGTGGGTGAGTCAGGATCTGGCTGGCAATTCCTGCTTGTTGCTGACAAGAGCATGCTCTGGGTTTTGAACAGGATGTAAGTCAGAATCTGGCTGGCCCTTCCTGCTTGTTGCTGACAAGAGCATGCTCTGGGTTTTGAACAGGTTGTAAGTCAGGATCTGGCTGGCCCTTCCTGCTTGTTGCTGACAAGAGCATGCTCTGGGTTTTGAACAGGATGTAAGTCAGAATCTGGCTGGCCCTTCCTGCTTGTTGCTGACAACATCAGGA